ATACTGTTACTGATGTTGTATTTATGAGCCTTCTCCTCTCATTACAAAGCAATTTTGGTTGGTTGTCATTCATAACTACTCATCACTTTCCTGTAAGCTAATTTTAAAGTTTACTCAGCCAAAAAAAAAAAAAAAAAAAAAAAGAGAAACAAAAACTGTCATATGAAAGATAATAACCTGGAATTTATTCTCTTGGTAGAGCAGTACAAAACAGTTTCTAAACATTTGTCCATATACTTTTATGAATGTTAATATATTCAAATGTTTAACCACCTCCCGCCCGCCATATAGTAATATGACGGGCGCAAGGTGGTTCTCTCGTTCTGGGAGGACGTCATATGATGTCCTCCCATTCTCACTGCGCATGCACGGCTCAGGGAGCGCGGCGATCGGCAGTGCGCTGTGTCCCTAGGACACAGCATATCACCAATCATGGAAAGAGCCGAAGATGTCGGCTCGGTCATGTGATCAGCTGTGTCCAATCACAGCTGATCACATGTAAACAGGGAAATGCCGGTTATCGGCATTTCTCTCCTCTCGAGCTGTCACGCTGACAGCTCGAGAGGAGAGGAGAGCCGGTAATCGGCTTTCAACAGACGGGACGTACACTGATCATCAGGGCACTGATGATCAGTGTGCCCTGATGATCAGTGTAGCCCCAGCAGTGCCACCTGTCAGTGTCCATCAGTGCCTCGTGCCAGTGCCCATCAGTGCCACATCAGTGCCACATATCAGTGCACACTAGTGCACATCAATGCCCCATATCAGTGCTCATCTGAGCTGCCTTTCAGTGTCACCCATCAGTGACAGTCAGTGCCACCTATCAATGCCAATCAGTGCCACCTATCAGTGCTGCCAATCAGTGCCAGTCAGTGCCGCCTATCAGTGCCAGTCAGTGCTGCCTATCAGTGCGCATCAGTGCCGCCTATCAGTGCCTGTCAGTGCCGCCTAACAGTGTTGCCTAACAGTGCCAGTCAGTGCTGTCTATCAGTGCCAGTCAGTGCCGCCTATTAGTGCCAGTCAGTGCCGCCTATCAGTGCTGCCTATCAGTGCCACATATCAGTGCCATGTATCAGTGCTGCCTTTCAGTGCCAATCAGTGATGCCTGTTAATACACATCAGTGCCACCTACCAGTGCCTCCTCATCAGTGCCCATCAGTGCCACCTATCAGTGTCCATCAGTGCAGCCTATCAGTGCCCATCAGTGCACCTTCATTAGCGCACATCAGTGAAGGAGAAAAATCACTTATTTACAAAATTTTATAACAAAAACTAAGAAAAAAACATTTTTTTTTTCAAAATTTTTAGTGGTTTTTGGTTTGTTTAAGAAAAAATAAAAAACCCAGAGGTGATTAAATACCACCAAAATAAAGCTCTATCTGTCACAAAAAAAATGATAAAAATTTCATATGGGTTCAGTGTTGCATGACCGCGCAATTGTCATTCAAAGTGCGACAGCACTGAAAGCTGGAAATTGGCCTGGGCAGGAAGGGGGTATAAGTGCCCTGTAGGCTAGTGGTTAAGGATTATGTTTTCCAGAGGACCTTCAGGCTATGAAAAAATGTAGGCAAATAGTCTCTAGAGGAAAGTGTTTCTGGGTTATGGTACTCTGTTTTACATAGCATGCTTGTGAATGAATGGCCTAACCCCTGGATATTTAAATCAATTTCATGACCTTTGACAAATCAGAATATCTACCAGTTGGCAATACTGTTTTGGCAAGATGGAGCAGGTAAAATTACACCTGTGGCTCTTCACATGCTGAAAAGAAACACAAGCTACATGCTGCTGAGGCCCATGAGATTGAAAACTTACTGTCCATGGGTAGGTGTTCTGGTTTGGGTGGGCCAGAGTGATTGTGTTAAAATTCCAAAGGGAATGTTTTTTACTTTAAGGCCTGCCATGTATAATATTCATTTGCCGAGACAATACATATATTCATTGAGCTTTGCAAATGATTTACCAGGGTTATGGCTAAAGCTATTATTCAGGTACCTTGTTTTTCAGCCGGTGGCCGGCTTTCTCATTAAAGCGGTTAGAGTGGCTCATTAGCCACTGGATAGCTTTCAGTAGCTACGGTCCCCTTCCGCTGCTCGCCGGTGTTCGTCCGGCTTACCATTTCTACCGACATGCCCAAGAAACAATCTGATGGCATGGCCAGCTGGTCACAGGGGTGATGAGACTCAATCGTCTCTAATCACCTCTATGGCCTTGGATGTCGGGAACAACGTCATGACATCAGTTCTGGTCTGGGGCGGATGTAAACATTATTTTCAAAAATCTTTTGCTTTTAAAGGTAAAGGAGATATTTGGGGTCTTTTTGACCCCAGATCTCTCCATAAAGAGGACCTGTCATCCTTATTTCTATTACAATGGATTTTTACATTCCTTGTAATAGGAATAAAAGTAATAAAACAAAAAAGGGACAGTGTAAAAATAAAAAATAAGAAAGAAATGAAAAAAATGTTAAAGTGCCCCCATCCCTCTGTGCTCAGCATACACATATGTAAACGGTGTTTGCAGCACACATGTGAGGTATTGCCATGAACGTTAGAGAAAGAGCAATAATTCTATTGCTAGACCTCCTCTGTATCTCTAAACAGGTAACCTGTAAAAATTTGTAAGGTGTCACCTATGTAGATTTTTAAGTACCATAGTTTGTCGCCATTCCATGAGCGTGTGCAATTTCAAAGCATGACATATTAGGTATCTATTTACTTGCCATAACATCATCTTCCATATTTTACAAAAAAATTGGGGTATATATATTGTGTTTATTTTTTTTTCTATTCATTAAAGTGTATTTAGAAAAAAGAACATTAGAAAAAACTGCTGCGCAAATACCATGTAACATGAAAAAAATTGCATTGATTGCCTCTTTATTCTTTAGGGTCTTTGCTAAAAAAAAAAAAAAAAAAAAAACTAGAAGCAGTCCAGTGCTTTTTTTTTTCTCTGCATCAAAAATGCATGCACAATGATTTCCATGTATTCCAAAGGCCCTAGTTCACACCAGTGCAGTCAGTTCCAGTGAGTTTCTGGTGCAGAAAAAAAAGTAGAACATGCTGCATTTTTTCTGCACAAAACCATACTGGAACATAGCAAACGGCATCAAAACTGCACCGGAACAGAGTGTGGTGTGAACTGTAAGCAAAAACGTATCCGCAATGCATCTGGAGTGCATTTTTGTAGTGTGAACTGGCCCTTAAACTTGTAAACAAAAAGTGCCAGAAAATGCTTGGTCTTCAAATGGATATACAGTAGAAAAGGTTATTTCCAAGACATTTAGTCATGTAAAAGTTTAGACTTCAGTATTTCTTTTCAGCTGTATCCTTACTTTCAGCAAGGTCTCTTCTGTAGTCTGTAATACAGTGTAATCATCTGAGAAATAAAAACCTGTTCTTATGTGAACTAATGCAAACTAAATACTGTAAGTTTCTTAAAATGTGCATGTGGTTAATTTAACTAATCGCACAATGAGAGTTTTTGAATTTTAAACGTAAATGTCTATTTAAAAATTAACAAATTATGCCTTTTTTAGCATTTTTATGTAATGGTTAGCAATTACATTTTTTTACACTTTTTTTGGAATGGTCTTGTATCATGGATAATGTAGCAGCACGCAATAGCAAAGCCTACACCATTTTTGCATTTCGAGCAACAAAAACGCCTTAATCAAAGCATAAACAAAGCAGGATTTCCTACTTCCATTTGTCTTTATAACACCAAGTTTGCATGCAATTACTGTAAAATAAATAGGATAATGAGCACTTTGCGTGCTATGCTAGTATGGTATGAAGGACTAAAAGTGATCAGAGCATACTTTTCACATGTCCAACAAAATTTGATTTAAGAAAACTGTCACCTCATGTTAAGCAGGTTAAATTAATTCCAAGCCAGGTTTTCCCTTTTTTTTTAAGAATTTTAATTACGAATAAGTAGCTTTAAAATCCATAAGCCTCTCAAAGTTTACTTGTGCTACTGTTTGGGAATTAGTCTTTAGTCCAGTTAGTTCAGGCTCCCCTCCAGACTCAGGATTAGCCGTCCAGTGCAATGCTGTCAACAAACATTTCAGTCATACCTATAATCCTATCAACAATCTCCTTGGAAATATTTAAGAACACATTTATAGTGGATATGGGAACTGCTCCAAATGAAACAGAACTGCTGTAAGCTGCCTATGCACAAAAAAGAAGAAAAAAATATTACAGTCCAAAAGCTGCAGCACCACGTGTAGCTTATTTTAAATCAAACATTCAGCAATGACAAGCTTGAATGATCAGGGGTATTACCTGGCAACCACTTTTAGATGCCATTGTCCTTTTACTGATATCTACTGCCATCTAGTGTTACATTTACAGTAAATGGTGACACAGAAATTTATCCAGTACATTTTTTTTTTACAGTTACAACGAAACAATACAGAAATACAGACAAAAAGAATTAAAAAAAGGTTATTGTATAAGTGTCTATAATTGCAGGGAAAACAAACCTGTACATATAAAATAGCACATGAGAAAACTACCTATAAAGACAAATAGAGATCACAATTTGATTTTATCCTTGACACGAAAATAAGCCACAGCTATTTCTGTACAAAGCAGTTAATGGAATTAAAAAAGAAACACTTTAGAAGAACAGATATGAATTTTAAGAGCAGAGGAAAACATAACATAACATAAGAAAATAAGTAGCAAACTAACTAATTACATGAATTACCTAAAGCTCAAAGGCATACAGTGTAATCATGTTCTGGATTGTGACCACTCAACAGACCCCTGCCAGAACAGGCTCTGTAGACAATGGATGCAATCTGGCAAGATGTTGCTACTTTTTATGTTAAAGGAAACTTGCAATTTGCAAAAATTACATTTTACAATTCAAATGTTGTCGCCAGTGATGCAATCTAACATGGCAGTGCTCAGAATTCATGATGAAATTGGAGTCAATAGCTTGTTTTGATTCTCATGTCCTGCTAAATTTCATGAAGATGCATTTCCTTTTCAAATGATCTCAACTTCAAAAAGGTGTTTGTATGGGTCTTCTCCTTTTCTGTATATCAATTTAGCATTTTTCATTTTGGACAAATCTGCACTATCCAGTTCCCAATTACTAAGTGTAAGTGAAGATAAGTGTGGTAGCATCCCCACTACACAACACAGGATTTTTAAAACTTCTCCAATTGGAGTGAAGATATTCTCTGTGCTGAGATCAAAATGTCTCAGGTTCTTCAGGTTCTGTAGTGCTTCAATCAAAGAAATCCAGCCATCATTTCCAACATGATTGCATGAGAGGTCCAAAAATGCAAGCTTCTTGAAATTCTCCCTCAAATGAGAGGCTATACAGGAAAGATTTAGATATTAGCATTCTCTTTAAAACACAGAGTTTGTAAAACATTTGAATAAGAAAACTATACAGTATAAATATATATATATATATATATATATATATATATATATTTATAGAGTGAGAGAGAGATATACAGTATATGTGTGTATGTAAAATATATATACAGTGCATCCAGAAAGTATTCACAGAGCTTAACTTTTGCCACATTTTGTTATGTTACAGCCTTATTCCAAAATGGATTAAATTCTTTTCCCTCATCATTCTACAAACAATACCCCATAATGACAGCATGAAAGAAGTTTGTTTTGAAATCTTTGCAATTTATTAACTATAAAAAACAACAAAAAAACACATGTACATAACTATTCACAGCCTTTGCTCAGTTGTTTGTTGAAGGACCTTTAGAACCAATTACAGCCTTGAGTATGAGGCTACAAGCTTGGCACACCTATTTTTGGGCAATTTCTTCCATTCTTCTCTTGCAGTACCTCTCAAGCTCCATCAGGTTGGATGGGGAGCATCAGTGCACAGCCATTTTCAGATCTCTCCAGAGATGTTCAATCGGGTTCAAGTCTGGGCTCTGGATGGGCCACTCCAGGACATGCACAGAGTTGGCCCATAGCCACTCCTTTGTTATGTGGGCTGTGTGCTTAGGGTCGTTCTCCTGTTCAAAGATGAACCGTCCCCTCAGTCTAAGGTCCAGAGCACTCTGGAACAGGTTTTCATCAAGGATGTCTGTGTACATTGCTGCATTCATCTTTCCATCGATCCTAACTAGTCTCCCAGTTCCTGCCACTGAAAAACATCCCCACAGCATGATGCTGCCACCACCATGCTTCATTGTAGGATGGTATTAGTCAGGTGGTGAGCAGTGCCTGGTTTCCTCAAGACATGATGCTTGGCATTCAGGCCAAAGAGTTCAATCTTTGTTTCATCAGACCAGAGAGTTTTGTTTCTCATGGTCTGAGAGTCCCTCTGGTGCCTTTTGACAAATTCCAGGCGGGCTGCCATTTGCCTTTTACTGAGGAGTGGCTTCCATCTGGCCACTCTACCATACAGGCCTGATTGGTGGAGTGCTGCAGAGATGTTCTTCTGGAAGGTTCTCCTCTCTCCACAGAGAAATTCTGGAGCTCTTTCAAAGTGACCACCTGGTGCTTGGTTACCTCCCTGGCTAAGGCCCTTCTCCCTTGATCGCTCATTCTGACCAGGCGGCTCGCTATAGGAAGATTCCTGGTGGTTCCAAATTTCTTCTATTTATGAATGATGGAGGCCCCTGTGCTCATTGGGACCTTCAATGCTGCAGAAATTTTTCTGCAGCATTGAAGAAATTTCCCCAGATCTGTGCCTTGATACAATCCTGTCTTGGATTTCTACTGACAATTCTTTGGACTTTATAGATTGGTTTGTGCTCTGTTGTGCATTGTTAACTGTGGGACCTTATATATAGACAGGTTTATGCCTTTCCTAATCATGTCCAATCAACTGAATTTCCCACAGGTGGACTCCAATCAAGCTGCGGAAACATTTCAAGGATGATCAGTGGGAACAGAATGCACCAGAGCTCAATTTTGAGTGTCATGGCAAAGGCTGTGAATACATATGTACATGTGTTTTTTTTTTTAATTTTTTTTAATAAACTGCAAAGATTTCAAAACAAACGTCTTTCATGTTGTCATTATGGGGTGTTGTTTGTAGAATGTTGAAGAAAAAAATGAATTTGGAATATGGCTGTAACATAACAAAATGTGGCAAGAATACTCATTAATTATTTTAATCTTCCACAGTGGGAACCCTAAGAAAAGCCTCATAACCATTCTAATAGTGTAAACCAGCCTCCACATACATGTTATTTATGTTAAGTGACTGTAAGCTAAGTAACACTTACAGTGAATGGGAAAAGTCTTTAGCACTCTAAATGGTTCGCTATAATATTTTACGTTCTCTGTATTAGCAAGTCAAGAAAACAGTGAATGTAAGAGTTTTTAAACATTCATTTTCCAGTAAGTGAAGTGATACAAAAACATTTTTGAATGTGTGTGTAAATGCAAAATCTATTTTTCAGTATGTTTACAATTTTCTTAAGTAAATATTTTTGTGAATCTGTTGCAAAGTTTATCACCTGAACAACATTACAGTAACAGTGCCTCCTGGCAAGCTGATAACATTGTTATTAATTTTGAGGCAGCTGCTTAAATTTGTCAGCTTCCCATATGAGTGCCTTTAGTTGACCTTTGGCTTCCAAAGGTAGGCATCATAGGCATCCCAATGGCTAAATAAAGGAGCATGCACCACATGCCGACAATGCTGAAATTTGCACAGTAGCGACTTGGTGTTGTCTGCCTGCAAGAGGAAGTGCTACTGCTGGCAACAGATTCGCATTCCTGTGCAGGTAGCCCCATTCATGTCAATTGGGTGGCAGCAGCTGTATGGATACGGCCGTTGCTCCCAATTTGACAGCCATGCGAGTGCGGGTGTGCAGCTCCAAACATGGACACCCACATGACAGTCAAATAGGGGAGAATTTAATTAAACTGTCTGAGGTCTACAAAGGAATGGCCTTCGATCCTTACATGATGTCCATTTAAAGCAGTCTTATAAGAAAAAATAATAAAATTAGTTCATATTTGTTATCTGCTGTATAACAGCATCCTGCTACTCTCAGAATATGGCCTTAGAATCTGTACCCCTAATCTCATTGTCAGCATCCCATAAACTTACCCAACTTCATCAGGTCTATAGAACCCCTGAAGAGCTGTTTAGGTGGGTTAAGAGAGGCACACCTATCTGCCCTAAATGCAAACTATATAGGGGGACTTTAGCCACATGATATAGCACTGCCCAAACTTACCAGATATTGGACCGAGGTTCTGCACACTATCTCATTGGTTGCCAAACTACTGTATCTTCAGATCCTTTTATATTTTTGCTGGGAGCGCTTGATGCTGGATTGTGTCAACCAGGGGTTTATATTATGGTCTCTCAACTGCTGTACCTTGATAGGAAACTTATAGCTAGATGTTGGATGTAAACAATGGATAGAATTTTCCTTGTTTACTTCTGAAGGAACAACTCACTTATCGCTAATGCAATGCACACCGTAAGTTTGAGCTGGCTTGGCAGGGATAGTTATATAGACTGAGCTTAGCACCACCACAATTAGTTATGAATGGGCTCCTTGAAATGTTTTCCTTTTTTTTGTGCTGGCTGTAAGATTTACTACAATCCCATATCTAGCTGAATTTTACTATATGCAGATAATCCCACCTGATGTTTGTAGTGTTTAGATACCACCAGTATTGACAGGATAATAGCACATTTTATGCCCAATTCATGCAAACCTTTTTGTGCAGAAATGTTTCTTCCATTCTGTACCAAGTTATTTGTACTTAATGTTTACTATGGTGAATGTTATGTGACATTGCAATTTTCTTTTCCTTGATTTGTATTTTTGATAAATTTTAATGTAATTTCTGCTCTTTGTTATTATTAAAAAGAGTTTGGATTAAAATAATTGTTGGCATTTTCACTGCTGAAAAGACCATTCATATTCTTATTCATCATGAAATATGAACAGGGAGGCAAGTATTCAATCCTTAATTCATTCTTTAGAATGGCAATGGTGCCAAACATACGAACAGCCATGGAGAACAATCTACTGTGAAACAACATATGGTATAAGCCAAGAGCATAACTATAAATCATAGGGCTCCATAGCAAAATGTTTATATGGCTCCCTCTCCAAACCGAAAAAAGGGCATTGAACAACACCCTAGTTACTACAGCCATGTGGCATATGTACGCATGGATCAAATTTTATGCTGTATGCATGTAACTGTTTGTGCTAACCTTTACATGTGTACAGCACAAATCTACTCTATTGGAGCTCTCTACATTCTAGCAGTGAAGGACATCAGGTGGTAGGAGCTTCCTGCATCCTTGCAACCACGTTTTGGCATTGGACATACTTAAAAATATAATAAATGCATATTTTTTAGCTGCAAAAAATGTGCATTTATTATTATTATTATATAATTTTTTTTTTAAATGAACTTATCTTTTAAGCAAAAAGGTCTTTGGGAAGTGGAGCTATGTTTAGAATTGTTATAAGCAAAGTCCCTGTAGGCAGATAGTCCACCCTGTCATCCTGAAGATAACTGACAAAACATCAAAGGTGATGCTCAAAGTTTGATTGGTCTTTCTAGTCTGACTATTAGACTGAGGATGAAAAGCAGAGGAGAGGTTAATTGTTACTACCTTAAACTCAATCTTTCAAAAACTGAGCTTGTAATATTTCCTCCTCCCTGATCCCCCAATCATGACTTTACCATTAAGATCAACAGCACAACCATTGGTCCTTCCCCTCATGCCAGGGTGCTATGCGTCATCCTAGACTCTGACCTCTCCTTTGGGCCCCACATCCACTCACTGGCTAAATCCTGCCGCCTCAATCCTGGAACATTTCCAAAATCCACCCCTTCCTGACCAATGACACCACAAAACAACTTATCCATGCCTTGGTTATATCCCGCCTTGATTACTGCAACTCCCCTCCTCACTGGTCTCTACCGTTGCACAGGCTATCCCCCCTTCAGTCTATTATGAATGCTGCTGCTAGACTCATACACCTTACCAACCGATCAGCGCATGCTGCCCCTCTCTGCCAATCCCTTCCACTGGCTTCCACTAACCCAATGTATAAAATTCAAAATACTAACCACAGCTTACAAAGCCATCCACAACACTGCTCCTAGCTACATCACCAACCTCATCCACAGATACTGCCCAAATCGCCCACTCCGCTCCTCCCATGATATCTTCCTTTCTAGCTTCCTCATCACCTCCTCCCATGCTCGCCTCCAGGACTTCTCCAGAGCCTATCCCATCCTCTGGAACTCCCTACCACAGCATTTCCGGTCAGCCCCCACCCTGTCTGCCTTTAGGCAATCTTTGAAAACTCACTTTTTCAGGGAAGCCTACCCCACCTCCACCTAAGAACTGTACTTGAATCACCTCCGCCAGATCATCCCCCGCAGCTATCACCTTTTGTATCACCTCCCCCTTCCTTTAGATTGTAAGCTCCACGAGCAGGGGCCCTCCTATTCCTTCTGTACTGAAATGTATTGTAATTGTACTGTCTCCCTTATATTGTAAAGCGCTGCGCAAACTGTTGGCGCTATATAAATCCTGTATAATAATAATATTAATACACCTAAAGCTGAGGAAAAGTGTTTCCAAAATTTCAAAGTAAACTGTACTCTGTCAGTTACCACATCATCAGGAATTCCATGTAGTTTAAAGATTTCTCAAACCATCAAACTCCTCAGTTTCATCATCTCTTTCATGGGAGGAAGATCATCCATGAATTCCATAGAAATCGACACCCATGGTCTTGATGGAACAGGGAGTGGTTGGAGTAACCCCAAAGGAGAAGATTGGGGTGCCTTACTGCATGTACAGGTCAAACACAAGGTCACATAGTTCTTGACATTTTTCTCGTAACCAGGGCACTAAAAGGAACTTGCTAAAAGTTCTTCCATCTTAGAAAGAAAATGACCTGCCCTTGATGGGCTAAGAGCTGTCATTTTGAGTTCTTTTTTTCCTAGATGGCAGTAGCAGGCATTTGGTAGCGATATCTGTGTGGAGCCATTTATGAATTTTGGAGAGAAGGCCCTGAGTTGGATAGTAAGCCTCAGCTGTTTTGTTTAAGCATATTAGTTCCAAGGGGGTAAGCAGTCTTAGCAGCTGGTCTTTCAGGGGTATGGAATGGAAGAAGTGTGATTTGGAGATCTGTGTCCAGCTAAAGGCAGCCTGTGCATTCACAGAAGGTGTGGAGGGGAAATGCAGCCTTGAGAAGATAATAGATGTGGCACACTTCTAGGTAGCTAGGGGGGACTAGACTCCAATGGTTAGACAGGGGCTGAGTAGCAGCCCAGGTGTAATAGCCAGACTGGGGTAAAATTGTGGTCAGGACTGAGAGGCTCTGCAGGCCAGCCCCTCTGGAATTTCCCCCTGCTCTGGAGATATGGAGGGAGACTCCAGAGGCAGTGGGTGGATCTGAGGAGTGGCTGACTGCATCCTTGAGGGACCCCAGCCAATCCCCAACAGAAGACTTGGCAAGGGGCTGAGATACCTTTAAAAGTGTTGGAGCCTGCTCAGTAGCAGGAGCGTGTGGGTGGAAGATGGAGAAGTGAGGCAGGAGCCTGGGAGGAAGCCCATGCTGGAAGGGGCTCACCTCCAGGAAGAGGGACCTTGAAAGGAAGAAAGCTGTAGACTTCACTGGCCCCTTGAGATAGGACCACCTGGCAGCAGGGAAGGAGTGGCCCAGCTGATAGGCCTGGTAGCAGCCAGCTACCCAACAACAGCACAGGAGAAGGATTCAGTGAGTACTCCTACACCCCCTGGGCCAGAAAAGGGAAGAAGCATTTGGGTGGGAAACCTGACTAGCTCTACACCCGGGACTGTTACATTTTAAGTTGCAGCTGGAATTTATCTGGGGTCTGAGGTGGTACACCAGGAGAGGCTGGAGACCTCTCCTAGAAGAGGATTTCTGCGTAAAGACTTGTAATATCGTTCAGGAAGTTTTGTCCTCTGTTGCCATTACCTTTGGGCATTCCATACACCCCTTACCCTATCCAAGTTCTACATTCCCAAAAAACTTTCAAAACAAAGCTCAGTGACTGGTTTTCTGTCTCCTGAAACAAGTCTGAATGGAAAATGTGTGATTTCTGGCTGTGCAGGACTATAGAGTGACCCAATTCTTCAGAAACTCCTAAGGGGGTAGTGCTACAGTTGCATAATTCTGTATATCCTTTCCCTTTAGTAAAGCTATTGCACTGAGCCCTGGTTGAGTATGAGTGGAGAAGGTGAAGGTAACATACTGCTGTTTCCTCACCATTTTCTGAAAGTTTTCAAAATGATGTTTATTAATCTGTAGGTAATTTTTGCTGGAAAGTCAGATAATGAAATCTTATATTGGTTCCTGGATGTTTTGTGAATTGATCAACGTTAATTGGCAGACAGGAGAGGAGTATGACAATCGGTAAGCTAACAGTGAATGGGAACAGAGGGCAGGCTTGCCTTGTTCAACTGGATACAAGGAGCCTATCAAATAAGATGCCATCGACTTTGACTTTTACGATCGGTGAGGAATAGAGGGACATTATCAAACTGCACATGGGCCCTAAGTTTATAGAAGGTGACTGCAGGTGTCCATGGCACCATCTCAGGGCACCTGGCAGTGTAAAGTAGACCTTACGTTGGGCCAACTCAACAGCTACTCTGTAAAAATATATGTACAAAACAGTGCCCTGGGTCACTCTGTTGCATGGGTTGTTCAATCATTATCAAGGGTCAGCATCTGCGTCATGTACTAAGGTTCTGAAGTAGAGATGAGACTAATGACATTATGCAATCTCTGGTGCCTACATGATAGCATTTATTGTCCTTTCTGCATATACAACTCCTTGCAGTTACTCTCACTTTGTAAGCTGCCTGAAAGTTACACTTTACAGATTGAATGATTGCCTGGGATATTAGAGGAGACTAAGGATTGCTTCTCTGCAGCCAACTAATGGCAATCTTTAAAGATGTTCCTCTCAGGCCTAGGCAAGGTTGCTTGGCTTCGGATTAAGGACTGTTTTTTAATAATAAAATTTTCTTTTTCTTTTTTTTTTTTCTTGATGTCTTGTCTAAACAGTGATGTTGGTTAATACTTACTAGTTTTTATGTTTTTGCAACTTTTTTTTTACTTTAAAAAGTAATTATTCTTACCTAATTTTATCACATCATCATCAGTCATGTTCCACCTTTTAAATGCAAGGTTTGACAGGCTTGGAATTCCCTTAAGCTGACACATAAGTATATCCAGGCAGCCTTTTATATTTGAACCTCCAGGTAACTTGAGTGTTGTTAATGCTGGCAGCTGGGTCAAGGCAATACCTAAAAGGAAATAAAGTATTACAAATGTTTAATATTTCTTTATATATATTATTGGTTCTTCTAAAAAAATGACAATTATATTTTATATCAGGCAAGGAGATGCAGTGGCGCTTGGAGGGCACTACTTAGGCTCATACTTTTTTAATCTACCATCTTTTTTTTGCTCATAGAGTTTCCTGTTGCAGTACAATATATAATAATGGGAAGTTTTACACAACATTCACCAACCTTCATGGGTTGGAGATGAGTTCTGATTCAGATCCTTGTTTAAGGTGGTTCTTCCCAGGAGGATTCAAAGCTTCCAATCAATATCCTGGTAATAGTGAACTATTTGTCTGTTGTTACTTCACTTAGACACCCTTCTAACCAGTCTTGACTTGTCCTATAGAATCGGTGTACGCTATTCAATGTTAGCAAACATGTTTACATGCATAAAGCATAATATATGGTTCATATGCAGAACCATGAATGCAAATTTTTATTTACATTTGTGGTTTTATGCAAATAAACGCTGTGGACCAAAGCAGACCAGTGTGCATGGACGTTTAGCATACAGTATAATACTGCTGTTTTCAGGTTGGTATAATTTATGGCTCTGAATGCAGCAAATTGTACACCTATGCGCATGATTCCTTAATGAATCCAAATCCTGATTCAAGCAGTGTTTCACTTTCACGACCAGCAGCAGTTCAGTAAGAAGTTCCTTTAGCACTGGCAACCTTCATTCAATGGCATCTCTGAGCGTGTGCGCATACACACATTGCTTGGTCCATCTGTACCCAATCAGCAGAGTTGTTACTGATACCATATATGTACCAGTATTTCTTTTTGTATTACTTTTTTAAGTACACAAATACATTTCTACTACAAACCCTTACAATAAAATACTGTAGTATCTTATATGATTAATAATATTTCCCCTTCACATATAATTTACCCCATTTATCTGGTGGAGCTAGTATTATTATTATTATTATTATTATACAGTATTTATATAGCGCCAAAGGGTATACTCAGCGCTGCACAGTAGCAAGGGGGACAGAACATGAGACAGGACAGTAACAATACAATACAGGAGGGGATTGAGGGCCCTGCTCTTTCGAGCTTACAATCTAGGAGGGAGGGGAAGGTGGCACAGGAGGAGATGGCTGAGGGGGATGGAGTGGTGGGAGGAGTGGAAGAGGTTAGTTGTTAGGTGAGGTCGGGTGTTAGGTGAGGTTGGGGTAGGCTTCCCTGAAGAGGAGGATTTTCAGGGTGCGCCTGAAGGTGAGGAGGGTAGGTGACAGTCTGATGGATTTGGGTAGGGAGTTCCAGAGGATGGGGGAAGTCCTGGAGAAGTCCTGCAATCAGCCGTGGGAGGAGGAGACCAGGGAGCTAGAGAGTAGGAGGTCCAGTGAGGAGCGGAGGGCATGGGTAGGGTAGTATTTGGGTATCAGGTCAGTTATGTAGTTTGGGGCAGCATTGTGAATGGCTTTGTAGGTCAGAGTTAGCAGTTTGAATTTGATGCGTTGGGGAATCAGGAGCCAATGAAGGGATTGGCAGAGGGGGGAGGCAGAAGTGGAGCGGTTGGTGAGGTGGATGAGTCTAGCCGCTGAGTTCAGGATCGACTGGAGTGGGGATAGCGTTCGTTTGGGTAGGCCAGTGAGAAGGGAATTGCAATAGTCAGGCGTGAGATGATGAGGGAGTGTACGAGTTGTTTGGTGGTGTCTGGGGTGAGGAATGTGCGTATCTTGGAGATGTTGCGGAGGTGGAGCCTGCAAGATCTAGATAGCAGTTGGATGTGGGGTAGGAAGGAGAGGTGGGAGTCCAGGGTGACACCCAAGACTTTGGCGTGTGGGGTGGGAGAGATGGTGGTGTTGTTAGTAGTGATGGAGAGGATGGGGGGGCACAGGGTGGGGGGGAAGACCAGGAGCTCGGTTTTGGATAGGTTAAGTTTAAGGAAATGGAGCGACATCCAGTCTAATATGTCGTTTAGGAGGTGGGCGATGCGGGCAGAGATTGAGGGGGTGAGGTGGGGGGTGGAGAGGTAAATTTGGGTGTCGTCGGCATAGAGGTGGTAATTGAAGCCGTGGGAGTAAATAAGTTTGCCAAGGGAGGAGGTATAGATGGAGAAGAGGAGGGGCCCGAGGACAGAGCCTTAGGGGACCCCGACAGAGAGGGGGAGGGAGGGGGAGGTGGCAGTGTTGTAGGTGACGCTGAAGGAGCGTTGGGAAAGGTAGGAGGAGAACCAGGAGAGAGCAGCGTCCTTGATGCCAAGGGAGTGCAGTTTGGCAAGGAGCAGAGGGTGGTCAACAGTGTCGAAGGCCGCGGAGAGGTCGAGGAGCAGGAGGATAGAATAGTGGCCATTGGCTTTGGCGGTTAGCAGGTCGTTGGTGATTTTAAGTAGGGCGGTTTTGGTGGAGTGCAGGGGACGGAAGCCAGACTGTAGGGGGTCAAGGAGTGAGGTGGGCGTTTAGGCGATTGTAGGCCAGGCGCTCAAGGAGCTTGGAAGTGAAGGGCAGTAAGGAGATGGGTCTAAGGTTGTTAAGGTTAGTGGGGTCAAGGGAGGATTTTTTGAGTATGGGGGTGATGTGTGCGTGCTTTAGAGGGGAGGGGAAAGTGCCAGTGGAGAGGGAGAGATTGAAGATGTGGGTAAGGGAGCGAATGATGGAGGGGGGGGGGGTGACTGGAGGAGCTGTGAGGGGATAGGGTCCAGGGGACAGGTGGTGAGGCGGGCTTCAGTGAAGACCTTAGAGACCTCCTCGGGGGTAGTTGGGCTGAAGGAGTGGAGTGTTGGGGAGGTGATGATGTGCGGGGCATTAGGTATAGTGGGGAGTAGTGCAGTTATGAGGTCGGGGGAGGGGACGGTTGAGGGGTTGAAGGAGGGCGGGAGGCTGGGTGGAGAGGTGGATTGTGAGTTGACAATGTCCTTACGGATTGCGTCAATCTTGTTTTGGAAGTGATTGGCAATCTCGTGGGCGGTGAGTGAGGTGCTGGGTGGGGGTGGGGGGGGGGAGAGAGCAGGGATTTGAAAGTGGAGAAGAGCCGACGAGGACAGGTGGAGAGAGGGTGTTGATAAGGGTTATGAAATAGGCTTGCTTGGCGGCGTAGAGGGAGGTGGTGTAGGTGAGGTAGGCGGCTTTATAGAGGGAGAACGCGCGAGGGGATCTGGTTTTGCGCCATAAGCGCTGCGTCGTTTTGAGGCATTTCGTGTGGTCGTTTTGCCAGGGTCTAATGCTACGTGTGGTTAGGGGTGCCAGGGAGTCAAGGGCAGCTGACAGTGAGTCATTGTATGCAGCAGTGGTGTCAGGAATGGACTCAGCACTGGTAGTGGGACTCACCTGCCGTGTGGGCTGCAGTACCAGGGCTGACCAGCGGGTGCGCAGCCAGAAGCTCACTTCTGCAGTCAGCCAACACCTGGGGCTGATTACAGCAGGTGTATTTAAGGTATGACCAGGCCTGTGATCTGTGCCTTGGTGTAAATGTTTCCCATGAGCCCTTGTATCCTGTATCCTGTGTTGCTGTATACTCCGTTGCCAACCTCTGCTTGTTACTGATCCTGCTCTTCTCCTGTTTAACCCCTGGCTTGCCTGACTACTTTTCCGTCTGATCCCTGGTACTGTATTTGCTCGCACCCTGCTGAACCTGGCTTGTGACCTGACCATTCTTAGCTCGCTCCTCTTGTACCTCGTTGCCCGCATAATACCGACCCGGCCTGTCTGACCACGCATACCGTACCCGACCATCCATCCATCCATCCGGCTCGGATCAGACCAGTGTATCTGTCTGCCTCTTCCAAATTAGATTCCGTTCCTGCACTCCCCTGTCAGTACTCTCTACCACCGCAGGTCGCACTCGGGGGGTCGCGACCTGGTTCCAGTCTACACCAAGTCCATCCCCACCATCAGGGGCCCTGGTGAACAGCAGGCTGGGACTTAGACCCCGTGCCCTGAGGGCGTCTGTGCGGTGGGCTGCTAGAGACTCTGCCAGGCGGCTTAACAGTACCAAACGGCCTGCCTGACCATTCCACCTCTCCGACCCTGACTACGCCTGTGTTCTTGAAGCCTGCTACTTCCCTGTGTCAGTCCACACATTTCTGGTCACACCCAGATCCCTAACAAGAGGGAGGATACTGTCATACAGACGGTCAGCTGCTGGGTGGAGATGGGTCGGGTTCAGATTTCGGAGGTTGTGGGTGATGGTTAGATGCTAACCGGGGGAGTCGGGGGGGGGAGTTGAGGGAGGGGGAGATGGAGAATGTGAGGAGGTGGTGGTCAGAGAGGGGGAAGGGGTGTTAGTGAAGTCGTGGGGGGTGCAGAGGTGTGAGAAAACAAGGTCCAGGGTGTTTCCGTTGGAGTGGGTGGAGGACTGAGTGTGCTGTGTGAGCGCAAAGGAGGGTTAGTTAGAAGGAGGAGTTGGGAAGTAGCTGGGCTGTTGGCGTTGATCGAGATATTGAAGTCGCCTAGGATGATGGTGGCTAGGAAGAAGGGAAGACAGGCGGCAAAGTCGTCTAGGAAGGGGGATGAGGAACCAGGAGGCCGATAGATTACCTCAATCCTTAGGGGGGTGGGAGAGAAGAGCCGGATGCAGTGGGCCTCGAAGGAAGAGAAGGATAGGGAGGAGGGGTTAGGGAGGACCTGGAAGGTGCTCAGCGGTGGTAGGAGCATGCCGACCCCTCAGCCTCTGTGTCCGCTCGGTCTGGGGGAATGGGTCCAGACGAGGCCTCCATAGGAGAGGGCAGCAGGGGAGGTGGAGTCAGTGGCTTGGATCCAGGTTTCGGTGACCACTAGGAGGTTGAGGGAGTGGGAGACAAAGAGGTCGTGGATGGCGGTGAGCTTGTTGCAAACCAAACGGGCGTTCAGGAGTGCAACCGAGAGGGGAGGGGTGGATGTGGGGAGGGGGGGCAGATATGAGATTGAGGGGGTTGCGGTGGTTGGCGTGAGTAGGGGGGTGCCGGGAGGGGGAGTGGGGAGATGGAGGGCCAGGGTTCGGGGAGATGTAACCGGCGGTTAGGAGAAGGA